GCTCTGCAGGTTTAGAGCTTGGAGGTTCAGCTCCTGGGTGGAGGCCGTCTGGCTGCCGGCCCCGGACAAGCTCGCAGGCATCTTGCCGCCGTTGTGCAGCGTTTGGCCTCCCGCAGCAAACCCCGATTTCTGGTCCCCTCCAGCGCCGCTGCTAGGAGCCTTAGCGGTCTTGGGTCCCTGCATGCTCAACCCAAGCTCCCCGCACCCTTTCTGATTCCTCATTTTTAAGTCCAGCCCCAAGGCGCTTTTACTGGATGCCTGCGACTTCAGCGCCAGCCTGCCCAGGGGTGAGGTCTCCGCTGAGTTCTGGCTTTGGGACATCCTGTTCATGTAGTGCACGATGGAGCTCTGCCAGCTGATGGCCCGGTTTGGGCTCGCGGAGCCGCCCTTCATCATGTTGGGCAGGTTCTCTGCTGACGACCCCCCCGAGCTCAGCCCAGCCAAGGCGGCCGGCGGCTCCTTCAGCACGGCCATGCCCGAGCCCTGCGTGCTGTGCTGGGGCTGCAGCTTCCCCATCAGCTTGGCGCTGCCGCCCACCTCCTTCCGGGACGTTTTCAGCACCTTTGTCAGGTTCACGGTCCTTCGAGCCGCTTTCTGCTCCGGGGGAAGAGGTTTCCGCCCACGCTTCTTCCTGGAAGCGTCTTTCATTTCGGGCTTGGCCACCAGGATCTGAGCTTTCTTCTGCGGTACCGGGTGAGTCTCTCTGCTGCGGGGACCTCTCTTTGCTTCCAGGTCGCTTTCATCCTCTTCATCAGAGGAGGAGGAAGAGGAGGATGTGGAGGAAGAGGAGCTACTTGACTTGGTTTTTGCAGGCATCTCTGGTTCCTGCAAAGCAACGGAGGGAGACGGGGAAAGTGAACGCAAATTACCAAAGAACCGTTACAGGCATTGCAAATCCTTCAGTGTCGCCTGGCCGGGTGCCTCAGACACACACAGGTTCTTTCTCCACATCAGCCGATCTGCTCGTCCTCTGCCATGAAACGAGTTAGGGAGCGTACAGTACAAAACCGACCAGGCTTAAACACCGAGTGGGACCCTGGTGCCAGGGAACTCTTCTGTCTCCTTGTACACCACCGCCAGAGCAGCGATGAAGAGATGTCCTCCTCGCAGGCATCCTCGTCCACCTACCCATCACTGCAATCTTCAAAGCCCCTAACCTGAGGTCTGCAGGCATCGCTGTGTCCTCACCACCCTCCAGAGCCTGAGCATCCACCACACCCTGTGCTGTGGACAGACGCTCGCTGGTGCTTTCAAGGCCAGAGCCCCTCCAGTGCCGACAGGGCCGTGGATTCCCACCACCACCAGCACTCACCACGTGTTTCCTGGGCCTGCCCCTGGGCCGCTTGCCCCTCTTCCATCTTTTTCATGTTCCCTGTAAAAACAACGATTAAGGACAATGTTTGCGGGGAAGAAAAAAAAAAAATCCCAAATCATCCTGGTTCCTCCCTTTCTTCTGTCATTAAAAAAGCCCCTCGCTCAGGATGCTGAAGGCTCGGCTCCTGTCCCAGAGCCTGAGCAGCGGCCGGGAGGTGTCCTTAACCCCTACCAAGATGTGACGATCTTACAGGCTCCGAGCACACCACTTACTTGAACCCAAGCTGTTATGGGCACACCACGCTCGAGTGCAGTCAAAGAGCCCCAAGAACTGCACAGAAACCCAGGGACTTGTGCAGTAAAACCTCCCCCGTGTGGCACCCGGACCGTTTACCCTGCGGGACCGGTGCAGGTCGCTGCAAGACTTGGGACATGAATACGATGCAACGCAAGAAAAAGAACTACAAAGCGAGGAAAAGGTTATAAAAATTGCGGCCTTAGAACCAGGTCAGCTATCTGGACGTCGAGGCACGCAGCTGGCTCAGCAGCAGGTATCTGCCCTGATTTACTGCAGAGAGGTGAAAGGAAAGAGACGCTCTCTTGCATACAGCATGGATTGAACCGCATGGATGGCTGAAATATATTTACCAAACCGCCCACAGAGCCAAAATCCTTTGCCACGCAGGACCTTCCTGCTGGTTACCCCCGTCCTGGTCCCTTTGCCCGACTGGTGCCAGTCACAGGCCTTCCAAAGGGAGACTTCGGGTTTTGTAACGCCACACCGGAGAGCGGCTCCCTGCTCTGCTCGTGCCCGGGGGAACCGAGGCGGGCGGGCAGTGACGGGCGAGCATCCCTGTTCACATCCCTGTTCGCTACAATAACATCCCCACAGCAAGAACCTTCCGGCGGGCAGTGATGGACCGCACGGTGTTACCCATTCTGAATCAGTGGCTTCTCCAATTTTTTTGGAGATTCACAGTTTTTCTGGTACAATGGGATCAGGCAAACGGGACCATCTGCCCTGTCTCTGCTAAGCCTTGCCTTAGCTGTACACTTGCAGAGCCGAGCTTCCCCTCTGCTTGCGGTGAGCAGCCGTACAGCCTCCGTGTGGAGGAGAAGCAAATGCATTCCCTGGAAACTCAGCAAGTTCTGCCCTGCGCTGGGCTCATTTCACCTTTCCTGCACCTCCTGCTCTGGACGCGGTGGCCCAGGCTGGCAGCCGCGCAAAGCCCGAGGTGCTCGTACGGGGAACGTTTTCGGGTCACTATGCTATTTCGTAGTTCTCCGTTTAAAAAGGACAGTGTTAAGCGGTAATACATACGGCTAATTAAACACCGTGCTGTCTGCACTAACCACCAGATTCCATTCTTGAAAAAATGGATCCAGAAACGAGTTATAATTAAATCCTATCATAAACTTTAATGATTTTTATTAATATGGAGCCAAAATATTCAGCAGCTCTGTGCTTACCGTAGCCAGCTGGCTACTTTTATACCCCCGTGCGTGATTCCTGGTGTGTGATAGCTGCAGAACAACCGCTGTTACCAGCTCGGCTCTGGGCAGTAGCCC